TGGGGCCTGGCAGAGGTGTTTTGGTCTTGGGGGTGGATCCCCCATGAATGACTCAGTGCCCTTTCCATGGCAGTGAGTTCTCACGCTGTTGGTTCATGTGAGAAACTGGTTGGTTGAAGGAGCCTGGCACCTCCTCTGCTCTCTCTTACCACGTGACACGCCTGCTGCCCATTCCCCTTCCACCATAAGTAAAAGCTTCCTCAGCAGAAGGCAAGCAGATGCTAGTGCCATGCTTGTACAGCCTGTAGAACTGTGAGCTCTAGATGTAAGGGAGAATAAGGACCTAAAAGAGGTCCTTTTAATAAGAAAACGAGGTTTAGGACCATCAGTCAAAAGGTGAGTTCAGCAGACAGATGTCCCTCTCCTCATCCAGCCCTAACTCCCCTTGGAAACACCATGCCCAGAAAAAGAAATCAGAAAGAATACAGCCCCTTGGGTTTGACCCCCTTGAGTCAGTCAAATGTGGGAATTTGAATTTGGAGGCCTGAATTGTCCACCACCAACCAATTATATCCCATGCTCAGGCTATACCACAAATAATCCAAAAAAGCAAATTACTCATTTAGATTTAGACATGTGCATTTTATAATTTTCATTTGAATGTGGACTCACATAACATTCCACTCATTCAACAAGTGTGTTCCTCTAAGGCAGCAAGCTCATTACTAAGAAGAGAGAAAGAGTAGAATAAAACATGGTACATATCACCAAGTGACTCAAAATAGAGTGAGGGAAGGTAACATGCACACACCGACCAGAACGCAGGCTGAAGGGGTTCCCTGCTCTAGTAAAGGTGCAGAGAGATTAATGCCATCTGGAATCACCAGAGGTTTCACTGAAGAGACGCCATTTCTCAGAACTGGAGAATCTGTAACATCATCTGACCTTTCCCCTCTTTTCCACTCACTCAACTCTTTTTCTCTACATTTATACAAAACAGGTACATTTGACAGCTACCCTCTCTCGTTGCTTAATTCATATCACTAACTATAACACCATTTCTTTTGTATAAGATATAAATTAGTGTTAGGTATATTTTCAGTATTAAATGTATTACTATAAGGCCTGGTGCAGTGGCTCACACTTGTAATGCCAACACTTTGAGAGGCTGAGGAGGGTGGACTGCTTGAGCCCAGGAGTTCAAGACCAGGTTGGGCAACATGGTCAAAGCCCGTCTCTACAAAATATACAAAAGTTAGCCAGTCCATGGTGGCATGCACCTATAGTCCCAGCTACTCAGGAGGCTGAGGTGGGAGGATTGCTTGAGTCTGGGAGGCAGAGGTTACGGTGAGCTGCGATCGCACCACTGCACTCTCCAGCCTGGGTGACAGAGCCAGACCATTTCAAAAAACCAAAAATGTATTACTGTAAGTATTTCTTTTATTAAAGTTGTATTTATTCAAGGGTTGTTCCATTATACCCATAAGCCACTGAAATATTTCCAAAATTCCAGTAAATTAGCTTATAAGCTATATCTTCTCAATTATTTCTTAAACATAGATTCCACTTATTGGTTCGGATTTTTGGTTAAGAAAAAAAGTCACCACAAAATAATCATGAAAAAAAGCCTGCCTAGGATTTCAAGTCTATAGTTGAAAGTAATGATAATCCAAACACACACAAAAAAACTAAGAACTGTCATTATTTTGTCTGTGGGTGTGTTTTGTATCTACTGTTTTTCATCTAAACCTGGCCCACATGCAGATGGGCACAGAGTTGCTGCCATTGATGGAGCAAAAGATATAGCACAGTATCACAGAACCTAAACCTGTAGTAGCAGAGGTTTATCTATATTTACACTTAGGTTTTTGACACACTTGGGGATAAAGTGTGCAAGTTTTATAGTCAAAAAAATGTATGTTTGAACCTGGGCTTCACCCTTCCAAGCAATCACATTTAGCAATCATTTCAGGCCTCTGAGCTTGTTTCCTCACAGGCATAATTTTCCTGTTTCACAGAGTCAGTATAAAGATTACTGACAACTTAGGCAAATCATCTAGTACACTGCCTGGCACAGAGCAAGCTATCAATGAATGATCGTTAAAATAATCAGTATTATTATTATTATTATGAACTCTAACTGGAAGCCAATGAGGCAGGCACAGGCACATCAAGCCACTTTGGGGACCCGAAAAGCACAAAGTACAAAGTACAAAGTAAACTTCTTTTTACCATGCATAAGAACAACCAGAATATGTGACTTCAATAATTATGACAACTCTCAAAACAAGTCCAGTACAGTGGTTGAGAATATACACTTTGGAAACTACTCCAGAAATTCCACTTTACCACTTAACAGCTGCGAGACTTTGAGCAAGTTGCTTAAAGAAGATTTCCTTTCCTCAACCAAAACAGAGCTAATAACAGTCCTTTTAAGTACTTAGTGGGCACAGTGGCTCACACCTATAATCCCAGTACTTTGAAAGGCCAAGATGGGAGGATCACCTGAGGTCATGAGTTCAAGACCAGTCTGAGCAACACAGCAAGACCCCATTTCTACAAAAAAAATTTTAATTAGCCAAGCGTGGAGGTGGGTGCCTGTAGTCCCAGCTACTCGAGAGGCTGAGGCAGGAAGATCACCTGAGCCCAGGAGTTTCAGGCTGCAGTGAGCTATGATCACGTCACTGCACTCCAGCCCGGGCAACAGAGCAATACTCTGTCTCAAAAAAATAACAAGTACTTCGTGGGGATCTTGTGATGGTTAAAAGAAATAAGATAACCCGTGGAATGCTCTTAGCAAAGCATCTATCAATAGTAAGTACTCCGAATGGTAACTATCAGACTGTCCATGAAATCCGTGGCACCCACAAGGAGTTACTGCAAAGAGTCTGAATAAAGCTTGCAACACTAGTGTATGTATTTCAGACAGATGTACTATTTTTCTATAGCACAGTTCAATGTGACTAACAAAATGCTAATTACATTAAGAGTTCTACTCATTATAGCTTTTAAAAACAGGTAATGATTGTTGAAAAATGTTCAAACAATAGAGAAATATATAAAGTAAAAAGTGTGCTTGTTCATCCACCCCGCTGACCCAAGCCTCAGGCCCCAAGTCCATTTTCCAGGGTAAGTCACTGTAAAGTACTGTAGTAGGCACTCTTCAGATCCTATCTTTCAACACATACATAAAGTTGGGGAAGCGGGGTTGGATTTTTTACAAAACGGGATAATACTAAATGCATTATTGGTTTATTCAACAATATTTCACAGATACCTTTCCATATCAATGTAAAAAATCCTAACTCATTCTTTTTAGTTACTGTTTAATGCTTTGAATTATAGATAAATTGTAATTTATTAATCCATTATACGAGGCTTTTAGTTTACCTCTAATTTTTTGCTGTTGAAAATAATCCCACAAGCCTCAGCCAGGAGGTCAAGGCTACAGCAAGCTGTGATCTCACTACTGCACTCCAGCTTGGGCAAAAGAGTAAGATCCTATCTCCAAAATAAATAATCCCACAATGGGCCAGGCACGGTGACTTACATCTATAATCCCAACACTTAGGGAGGTCAAGGCAGGAGGCTCGCTTGAGCCAAGGAGTTCAAGACTAGCCTGGACAACATAGCAAGACCCCATCTCCACATAAAATTTAAAAATTAGCCAAGCATAGTGGTGCATGCCTGTAGTCCCAGCTATTTGGGAGGCTGAGGTGGGAGGATTGTTTAAGCCAGGAGTTCGAGGTTACAGTGAGCCATCGTGCCACAGCATTCTAGGCGTGGCACCAAGGCAAGATCCTGTCTCTAAAAACAGTAATAATCATCATCATCATCTCACAATGAATACCTTGTTTGAAGGGCATTCAACACATGTGTAGCTATTTCTGTTGAACAGCTTCCTAAAAGTGGATCTGCTAAGTCAAAGGTTTTGCACATTTTATATGTTGATAAGAAATGCCAAATTATCCTCTAAAAAGGAAGTACCCATTGTATTCTCTGTAAGTAACCATCTTCATAAAAAACAGAAACAAAAAAGTATTCTATCATGCAAAAAAACTGAAATTTTTCGACGTTAAGAAGTGGCCCTCTGGCCAGGTGCAGTGGCTCATACTTGTAATCCCAGCACTTTGGGAGGCTGAGGTGAGTGGATCACTTGAGGTCAGGAGTTCAAGACCAGCCTGGCCAACATGGCAAAACCCTGTCTCTACTAAAACTACAAAAATTAATCGGGCAAGGTGGCACATACGTGTAATCTCAGCTACTCAGGAGGCTGAGGTATGAGAACTGCTTGAACCCAGGAGGCAGAGGTTGCAGTGAGCTGAGATTGCACCACTGCCCTCCAGCCTGGGCAACATAGTGAGACTTTGTGGCAAAAAAAGAGTAGCCTTCATCTTAAAAAAAAAAAAACTACAGTTCTAAATCCTTACTTCATCCCTCTCAGCATCTGAGCCCCTATGCTGCTGACTATCTCATCTTAGCATGAGTCATTCCATGATGTCCTCTGCAATGACCTGGTTCATGTCAAACAGTTTTCTAGTCCCCAAGTCACCCTGGCCCTGTCCCCAGGCCAACTGTGGGGAGAAAGGAAGCACTAAAGACCTGAAGTGTTCCTGTCACCATCCAGCATCCCTGCCAAGCCCCACTAAAACACAATTGTTCCATGTAATGCTCATGGTAAAAGCTCTACTTTGTTTCCATGTTTTAAAGCAGCAATGGATTAAAATCTCTTAATCAATAATCACTGGCCTACAGGTAGTTTACACCTTTCATTTTGTCCCGCAATATTATTACAATCAGGAGCAAGAGCAGATAAAGGTCATGCTGGTAATTAAAGCTATATTGTAGAAATATGCTCACCCAAGATATGATTAAATAAGAAAATATTACTCAGTTCAGTATCATCATTAAACTTGTATTAATTTATAAATATTTAAATGTACCATATGATGGTCATAAATAATGTGTTTTTGTCAGTTTCTAAAATAATGCAACCCATAAACTCTTTAAAAAATGACTGCAGAAAGGAATAGTCAAGAAAGTATATAAGCCAGACTTACATTCAAATGCTGTAGTTGTTGCTTCAGGCAGAACCTGGCCTATCACATCCTAAACAAAGAAAGAATAAAGAAACACAATTAGCCATCTTCTTTATTGCTAACATGTGGCAAATCCTAGAGGAAATATGAGAACCTGGGAAAGATTTTTGAAACGTTAGCATAAACTATAAAAACATTAGCTCATAATCACACTTAGCCCAGCGACATAAACCCAGAGTTTAAATCTCTATTCCAGGAAGAAAAATCTTTAAGAAACCTTTTCCACATTTTATTAATAACATAATATTTTATTCTCAATTCAACAGTGTAAATACAAATACACTGTTGTGTATTTACAAAAACTTGGTTTCTTCTATGGGAGGCTGTGGAATACAATACAGTTGAAAGAGAAAGGGGTTCTGAGAGTCAGACTGATGGGGGTATGAATCTCTGCTCTGCACTTATCATTAAACGAATGACTTGGAAAAAAAATCACCTAACCTCTCTGAGCCTCAATCTGACTACCCTCCAAAATGGGTCTAGTAATACTTACAGAGGTAGTGTAAAATTAATCTAATAAACATAAGCTTAGACCTAGCACATTGAAGACATTCAACAAATGTAGTTCCTGATATACAACAAGCAACGCTGTGCCTCGCACTCATAATGGTAGTTCGACACACAAGTTTCTGTGCTGATATAAACCCATTATGCTACATTTAACACAAACGGTTCTTATCAACCTTTACTCCTAAGCAACAGAAAACACACTTAATGACACCGAAACAAGGTTAATCTAGCCTACAACAAAAATCTAAAAAGTGTATATAATCTGACATCAATGTTTAAATAAATCTCTCAAGTTGAAAACACATGAAAATTAGTATACTGAGACAGCTTAATTGAATAAGCACAGAACACCTAAACTCTGGGGAAAGTGACCCTCCATCACGTCCAGTCCAACTCCAATGGCCTGCAAACCTCATTTCTCTCCGGGAGCTCTGCCACAATGTCCCTCCCAGGCTGCACCAGAACTGGCACCAGGCAGCCGGCTGACAAAGCCGCTTGCAGTATTTCTCAGCAGGGAGCTCACAGCCTTTCCAAGCAGGGCACTTAGCGGAGTGGCGGCTGCAACTTCCTTCTAAAGGCAATTCTTTAGAAGCTTTTGCTGCAGTGGCAATTTGCATAATAGTCTTGCCTCTATAGTGTTTTTTTTTTTTTTTTCCAAAAATAAATCTGTGAATATAAAACTGATCAAAGAGAACTATCTTAGGCAGCCCTTGCTCATTACAGCCAAAAGAGATTATTTTTTTTCCGACTCTAGTCTTCACAAATGAAACATCAACTTTTTGAGGAAGTATCTATAAAAGATTTTAGTGTTAAAAAATTCTTTCTACACTCTCATAGTTAGAAAGTATTTATGGACAGGAAACTGTAAAGGGAGTACAGAATAAAGCACACAGGCAATCCAGTGGAAAGCCTGAAAACATGAAATTGCAGCCAAACGGCTACAGCTGGATGCTAGCTCGCTCGCACAACTGAGTCCACGAAATCTCTGTGCCTCAGTTTCCTCATGTGTAATATCAGATCTTAGCTGTACCTACCAAATGAGTTAGTATTTGTAAAGTGCTCAGAAGAGTATCTAGCACATGCCAAGTGCCTTACTAGTGTCTGGTAAATAAATAAAACACTATGACTGGAATATTACAGAGCTTACCTCATAATAAAACTTTGAAATTCCAGCACCCAACAATCAGTGGAGGATGGTGATTCACTCACTGACTTCATCCTTCAGCAGTATTTATTGAACACCCATTCTAGCCAGTGTAGGTTTAACAAAATGAGGGGAAAACAACTGCTCCATCCCCAACTCTCTAAGTTATCACCGGTTATTTCCAGGAAACTCTGATCTTGAGATGTGAACTCTGCCTCTATAGTGTTAGCAAACTAATTTAAGCTCCTTCCCACTTCGGAATAGCAGACCCCATCAAACTGCAGAGTTCTAACAACCACCTGAAAACCTGCTCAGTGGCAATGGCATGCCTTAGCCCATCGACATAAATGAGGCGCTACACATGCTTCTCATCTGATAGAGGAAAAGGGAGAAAGAACAAAGCAAACTTGAGTGAGAGAATCATGTGAACACAACCACTTTGTTCTCTAAAGCAAATAAAATGGGGCTATCATAATGACAAAGAGGTAAGAAGTTTAAACATCAGGAATATCTACTAGTCATTTTAAAGCAGGGTACATTTGATGATTTTATACACATTTTCCAGCTAAAGTGACTTCTACTCTCAACAATATAACAGGTACCTAACCTAAAGGAGGTTTCAGAAGAAAACCAGGATGGGTGCAGTGGCTCACGCCTATAATCCCAGCACTTCAGGGGGCCAAAGTGGGTGGATCACTTGAGGTCAGGAGTTTGAGACCAGCCTGGCCAACATGGTGAAACCCTGTCTCTACTAAAAATACAAAAAAATCAGCTGGACATGTGGTGTGTACCTGTAATCCCAGCTGCTCAGGAGGCTAAAGCAGGAGAATCACCTGAACCTGGGAGGCAGAGGTTGCAGTGAGCCGAGATCACACCACTGCATTCCAGCCTGGGCAACAGAGTGAGACTCCGTCTCAAAAAAAAAAAAAAAAGAAAGAAAGAAAAAGAAAACTGAAGTGTACACATCTTGATGAGGACCATTTTTTGATGCTTTTCTTCTTCCTTTCAAAAAATCAGACAAATATCTGATAGATCCAAAACATAATTGAGTATCTATAACATGCCAGGAGCATAAAGATCACAAAGCTGTAGGCTACAGGAGAATAAAACTTGATCCTTGACTTTAGGAAGATTATAAACTGGTTACGGAGATAAAGACAAACCTGAAAGACTAGTGATATAAAACACTTAGAGTATAAGCACCAAACAAAAGACATAAATAGCAAATAGTATTTGGTAACTCAGGAGAAAGGAAAAATCACACTCAATTTAGACAGAAATCTGTGTGTGTGTGTGTGTGTGTGTGTGTGTATGTTTTCTTCTTTTTTGAGATAGGGTCTCGCTGTGTGACCCAAGCTGGAATGTAGTGGTGCAATCACGGCTCACTACAGCCTCAACCTCTGGGTTCAAGAGATTTTCCCATCTCAGCCTCCCTAATAGCTGGTACTACAGGTGTGTGCCACCATGCCCTACTAATTTTTGCATTTTTTGTAGAGACAGGGTTTCGCCATGTTGCCCAGGCTGGTCTCGAACTCCAGGGTTCAAGCAATACACCCACCTCAGCCTCCCAAAGTGTTAGCATTACAGGCCTAAGCCACCACTCCTGGCCCAGAAGTCTTATAGATGAGGGGAAATCTGAGCTTGGAGACCACAGGATACAAAAAGAAGAGGGGAGAGGGTTGAGCATTCTCTCTCATCACACACTAACCGAACCTGTTGTACAGTTTTTCCAAAACTAGGAACTCAGTCTCCAGGGAAAAAGAGAAACACAGAAAGCTGCAAAACCGAAGACCCAAATGTCTCTACCTTTGAGGGTCAGGTCGGCCTCCATACTTAAGCCCGTCCCTGGTGATTCAGACAAAAGACAACGCCCAAAGAGACAGAGTGACTTGCCCAGGGTCTTCTAGCTATTTGATGCACAGTGACTGGAGGCCTCAACTGCTGACTTCAGGTCTGAAACACTCAGTTATGGCTGACTAGGTGACTACAACCTGCTTCTGGCATCTGCATCAGGTTCTGCCAAAAATTAGCTGTGTGGCTTTAGCAAGGTATTTTGCCCCTGTGGGGTTCATGCCTCTTCATTTGAAATGAGTCTGAATTAGATGAGGCGATTCTTCCAGGTTCCACGTGGCTTTAAAGTTTAAGGTTCCAAGCCAGAGATGCTGACATGTCTGTTGGTTCTTGCCTTTTCTTGATGAAGAGATGAAGTGAACCTGGAGAACAAATCACAGGAGTCTGCCAGGATCTGGGCTTGAACATTTGCTAAAATGGATCATTAGGAGACAGCACTGAACACCCACTGCCACAGGTCCTTTGTCAGGCCTTCCTGACAAAATATGCTCCACCTGGGCTTACCTGGCCAAAAGTGTGCAGGCACCTGGCATGCTGAGCTCTAGTGGTGGGTCCACTTGTGTAGTGTTTCCTGTTAGGCCAGTCAGCCTTGAGCCAGGTACAACTTAGAGATGCTCAAAAAACAGAAGACCCAAGTCCAATCCCTTATAATAACAATCCCATCAATAATAACAACACTAATGGAGCGCTTATTATGTGCTAAGTTTTTCTGAGAGTTTTACATGTATCAACTCAAGGAGTCCTCAGAACTCTAGGAGGTAGGCATTACTTTCACCCCTCCCCAACTTTTTTTTCACAAATAAAGAAACTGAGATACAGAAGATACTTGCCCCAGTAGTACAACTTGCGATTTAAACAACTTGGCTCCAGAGTTTGTGGTCTTAAACACTGGGCTGTTCTTGAAATAATCACATAATCAAATAATATAATCACATAATAATCAACCTTCCATTGTTTTAAATGAGTAAGAGAAAGCCCGTCTTTCTCATCACAGTCACAATCTCACATAATCTTGCCAAGTCTTTGAGGAAGGTACAAGTTTCCCTGTTTTACAAATAAGGAAACTAAGGCTCAGACAGGTAGACTGACTTGCCTAGTTAGCGGGACAGCTTGCAATTAAACCCAAATTCCTTGACTCTAAACCTCATGTTCTGTCCACAGAACCATAATTGCATGCATCCTCTTTTAAGTTCCCTTCTTAAACAAGTATTCTGGGGTCCTATGAAGAAACAAAAACCAACATACCTATCTCCTCCAGAAGTTTACCATCTAGTGGAGGAGACAAAGTATCATGATCAAACATGTGCTTTGCTGGGGGACCCACACAAAGCTGTGGCAACAGAGAGGTGGGGCATATAACCAAGAATGACAGAGAAAAAGCACAACTTGGCTTGGAAGGACAGGTGGGAATCGGCCGGTGAAGGGCAGACTGTAGACAGTCTGGACACCTGGGAGAACTGAGAATCAACATATATAAGTGAGGCACAGAAGTTTATAGGCCTGTGATGAGAGATGACACAGGTGCCAGGCAGACAGGGGCCAATCCAGATGTGCTCGAGGACCATGTGAAGGAGCCTGGGCCTTATCATGAGGGGAAATCTGTGTGTGCGTGACTGTGTGGAGAACTCTGGCTACAAAGAGAAGGATGGCATTTGATGCACAATATGGAAAGCTCCCAGCCAAGGCACCCAAAAATGTGCATAGCCTGGGCAGTCAGTAACATCCAGAACTCAAAATGAAGTTATAGAAATCAAATTTTGACTGAGTTACCCAAGACAATGAAAAATCACATCACAAATCTTCCTCTTCCCAAGATCCTGCCACCTTGCCCACTCTTAACTTGCAGGCAAGTTCCATTACAGATCTGCTGCTAGCAATATGCTTTTCGGAATGTCCGCTTCTGTCTTCCATGCTTCAGTTATTCAGCATGTAGAATGGGCCACAAGGCACCCTGTCTATCTCAAATGAATACCAGAAAGATCAGAAGTGGCTGCAACATGTAGGGAAATAAACCTACTAAGTCAATGAAACACAATTTTAGTTCTGGTACTGAGCTCACAGCTTTGGAAAAGCCATTTCACCTCACTGCTCCTCAGTAACTATCTGCAAAAAAGAAACAGGCCACCTACAGTGTTATACCCTGCTCTAAAATTCCATCATTTTATTTGAAATATATTCTGAATAATCTGAAAGTAAAATATCACCAATTCTAAGATGCACATTTTCCCTCAATTTTACTATCTCTGAAACTGGACTGATTTTAATAACGGATGATGTGTCATACTGTCAAGGGCAGCATGTTTTTCTAAATAAAACATCTTACATTCAATAATGCTTTAAGTTTGCTCAGGCTGGACACAGTAACTCACACTTGTAATCTCAGCACTTTGGCAAGGCCGAGGCAAGCAAATCGCAGGAGTTCGAGACCAGCCTGGGCAACATGGCAATATCTCATCTCTACAAGATACAAAAATTATCCAGGTGTGGTGGCATGTGCCAGCTACTCGGGAGGCTGAGGTAGGAGAAGCACTTGAGCCCAGGAGGCAGAGGCTGCAGTGAGCTGAGATCGTGCCACAGCACTGCAGCCTGAGCAACAGACTGAGGCCCTGCCTCAAAATAAATAAATTAAACAGTGTGCTCAAACCCGGTAAGTTAAAGTTGTCCTTTTTCCCTTTCTCAGCTGGTCACCAAGTTCAGAGAACTCAGTAGAAAAACAGGGCTGGAATCTGTCCAGGGACATTCCCTGAAACACTTGGGGGGAAAAAACATCTCTTCTAGATTCAGCTGTTTCCATTTGCGTGGTTGTGACTGTATGTGTGTCCCAGCCCGGGCTATGAGCTCTCTGAGGGCAGGGGTTCAGTCAGCTTGATCTGTCTCCCCAGGGTCCTCGATATTTGCCAGATTTCAGTGGTTGCAATTTATCAATGCTGTGCCTGAAGCAATAAAACTGCCTCCACAGGAAGCCAGCAGTAGCCATTGCCACTAGCTCAGGTCACCAGTGGTCAAGGTGCTGACTGCTCAAGTCCCTGAGTCCCCCTTGCTGGGATCGGACACTGAGATTACCACTCACCAGTACATCCCTGAAGAGTAACTGCGGCCCAGAGTGCACTGTCCAGTCCACCGCGCCACTATTTGGGATCTTGATGCGAATTACCAGCACCTGGTTCTCCATGGCAGGAAAAGGGCCAAGGGCTAGCCACAGCATTACAGGTTAAAGAGGCTCACATCCTTGGGTAGGGGATACCCACTGGCCGCTGGTTAGGAAGGAGCTCCAAGAGGTGACAAGGGGAGTGAGGGGCAGAGGACAGAGGGTGAAAACAAGGGACTGGTGGATGAGGGGGTGAGAAGAGGGGAGGGGTGATCAGGAACGCACCCGCAGGCACCGAGCCTGCCCAGACTGTCGGGGGTCTGAGGTGTCTCCCGGGGAGGGTGCACCGGGAAGCGGGCAGAGGCCCGCAGGAACTAGCTGAGGTCGGAAGGTTCTGGAGTTGAGCGAACGCTATGGTGAAGATCTCTGCCGCCGTGTGGGTGTGAGGAGGCGGCGGGGCAAGGACTCGGTTTGGAGGAGATACAGCGGCAGGTGTCCACCGCTCGTCAGTGGACTAGGAGAGGGTCCTGGACTGGAGGGACTCAGTCTGGGGCTATTAAGAAAGAGCCCGAGGGCCGCCACACCATGGAGAGTCCCCACGAGAGGGTCAAGGGGCGAGTCTTCTGCCCCACCCGGAGACACAGGGCGCGGCGCGCGCAGGCTGAGCTCCGGCCACCCGAGGCCGCGCGGACCGGCGGCGGCAGCGGCGGCGGCGACGGCGGTAGCGGCAAGAGGAGGAGGAGGAAGGCGGCGGCGACACTGTTACTCCGGAACCAAAACGCGCGGCGCCGGAACCCCGGGAGCCAACGAGCGGGACCCGCCTCCCGCGGCGCCATGTTGGAAAAGGGCAGCGGCTCCCGGGAGGACGCACCCCCGGCGCTGGGAGCTGAGGAAGCGGCGCGCGGCGTGTGGCGCGTGGCGAGTCGGGGAGAGACTGGTCCTGCTCGCTCCGGAGACCCTCCTCACCCGCGCCCGCGGCGACCAGGTCACGGCCCTTTCGTTTCCTGACCCTGCTTAATGACAGCGAACTGAAAACATCTACCAAACGAAGGGTGAAAATGATCTAGGGCTGGAGTCCGCCAAAAGCCAATTTAAGGCTTAACATTGCAGACCGTTTGTCTTTACAAAAGCTTCAAAGACTGGGCTGCAGCTCCCAGTTATCCCCCACTTTGTCAAGCCATGCATCTGAATGTTCGTGGGGTTGTGTGCATCGAATCAGCAAGAGCAAGGCAAGAACTCAAGAAATAGTTATCTTTTTTTATCCCCCCCTTACAAGTCACAAGTTCAGAGGATCGTCATCTTTCTCCCACATTAGCAAAACGTATTTGCATTTTTCAGTGAGGTTCTTTACCCCACCAGTGCCCTAAAATAGCAAACAGTTCCCTGTTCAAAAGCAATAGTAAACAAATTCACTGAAGAGTTTAATTGCCTGGGGACAGCTGCAGTAGTCGCATCATCGTCTCTTATTAAACTGTTGCAGAAATATTCGGTCTAGCCCATGTATTTTCAACTAAATAGCACTGCTTACGCAGTTGGTGATATCACGGAAGTAGCAATAAACCTTGGTTATCTTGTTTTTTGTTTGTTTTTGAGAGTCTTGCTCCGTCGCCCAGGCTGGAGTGCAATGGCGAGACCTCGGCTCACCACAACCTCCGCCTCCCGGATTCAAGCGATTCCCCTGCCGTCCCCCGCGCCCTGGTAACTGGGACTACAGGCGGGCGCCATCGTGCCCGCTTATTTTTGTATTTTCAGTAGAGACTGGGTTTCACTTTGTTGGCCAGGCTGGTCTCAAACTCCTGACCCACCTCAGCCTCCCAAAGTGCTGAGGGATTACAGGTGTGAGCCACTGTGCCTGGCCAACCTTGGTTATCTTCAAATGCCTTGTTGTCTCAGATTTTAAAGTGCATAAGTCTTGTAGAATGATGATGCCTCTACAGAGGTTTGTTTACAAATCGTAACGTGTAGGTTCGTCCTTTATCTCTTTCTTATGAAGGTGCACGAATTGGCTCTACTTTTTGGGGTTGAATTTTGTATAGACTCGGTTGAGGAGGCGTGTCAGTTTCCCTTCTAACAGTAAGGTGCTTGATTAATGTGAGAAAAAAATTAATGTTGGTCATTTTCAGTTACAATACCAAAATTTTTCTGCATACTTTACTCTGAGTTACTTTTATATTTAATTTGAAAGTCCATTGTAGGAGATAAATTATCACTTTTTAAGTTACTGTAAATTAATATCTTAGGTAGAAATTCATTTAGTCAGATCCTTCAGATATTCTAGGAATTGCCCCTTTTCACCAGCACTTCACTTTTATGAAAAATAAACTGTTCATCAAAAGTCCTCATGTACTTTTATTAAAAGTTCATTTCCTATTATTTTAGAAAATAGACCACGAAACTAGAGATTTTCTATGAATCTGTGATTTGTTAAAATGTCTCTTTTATTCAAAGTACCATGGGGAAAACCAACTCAATTTGCCAAATTTGCATACATATTCTGAAGCTTTTCCTACGATAATGGCAAACTCATATTTCTTTCCCAATATTTGCAGAGCCAGTATAATTACACGTCAGCCCTTCATAGCCTTTATATAGTAAGAAATCTTAACTTTGATGATTTGAGCAAGGATTTTCCAGAAAGTTCTAACTCTCATTGCGAGAAGCATCATAATCACTGATAATACAAGACCATTCCATTTGGTATCATAAATGACAAAATATAACTTTTTGATCTTTACCAAAATGAATAAACTACTGTCTAAATTTAAGGAATATTTAGTATTTGACATGGAAGTTGTATGTGATCTTAAGACGTTTGCATTTAGTACTTTTTTTCTTTTTTTAAATTTTTCTTTTTTTTTTTGAGGCGGAGTCTCACTGTGTCATCCAGACTGGAGTGCACTTGCGCAATCTCGGCTCACTGCAACCTCCATCTCCCAGGTTCAAGCAATTCTCCTGCCTCAGCCTCCCAAGTAGCTGGGACTATAGGCACGTGCCACCATGCCCAGCTAATTGTTGTACTTTTAGTAGAGACGAGGTTTCACCACGTTGGCCAGGCTGGTCTCGAACTCCTGACCTCAAGTGATCCACCCCTCGGCCCCCTAAAGTGCTAAGATTACAGGCATGAGCCACCGCACCCAGCCTTTTTTCTTTTTAAATGATACAAATTAAGATAGTCACTCAGGTACTGGCTGAGATAGTTTACTAGCCATTAAGCAAACTTACTGTTAAAAAAAAAAAAAAAAAAAAGAACCTGTACTTACTTGTAGTGTTCCTACTTGAGGGATTTACTTTTCACTAAGTGTAATAGAAAATCCCTCCCCTCATGAAGTTATATTCTGATGGCGAACACAGTCAAATGAGTAAAATATATGTTAGATAGTAGTAAATGCTAAGAGAAAAATGAAATCAGAAGGGAAAATGGTAAAACAGTGAGTGCACCAGTGTGATAACACTTAAGAATATGAAAACTGGCCTATATTGGCTTCTGTTAGCTGGCAAATTTAACTGAAAATAGACACATTACTGAAAAGTTAGATGTCTAGTGATTTTTTTAAATTGTGATAAAATACACATAAAATTTACCGTTGTACTCATTTTGAAGTGTACAGATCAGTAATGTTACATACATTTACCCTGTTATGCAGCCAATCTCCAGATTTTCATCTTGCAAAACTGAAGCTCTGTATTATTAAACAACTGCCCACTTCCCCTTCCCTTCAGCCCCTGGCAACCACCAATCAACTTTCTATTTCTATGAATTTGACTACTCTGGATACCTCATATAAATAGAATCATACAGTATCTGCCTTCTTATGACTGGCTTATTTTGCTTAGTATAATGCCTTCAAGGTCCATCCATGTTGTAACATGTGTCAGCATTTCCTTTTTCTTTTTGTATTTTTAGTAGAGACAGGATTTCGCCATGTTGGCCAGAGTGGTCTCGAACTCCTGACCTCAGGTGATCCACCCGCCTTGGCCTCCCAAAGTGCTGGGATTACAGGCGTGAGCCACCACCCCTGGCCATTTCGTTCCTTTTTAAAGCTGAACAAAATTCTGTTGGTGTATATAACACATTGTGTTCATCCATTCATCTATCAATGAACATTTAAGTTGTTTCCACCTTTTGGCCATTGTGAATAAAGCTGATATGAACATGGGGGTACAAATATCTGTTCCTGTCTCTGCTTTTGACTTTTTGGGATGTATACTCAAAAGTGGAATTGCTGGATCATATTTTCTATGTTTAATTTTTTGAGGACTCACCATGCGGTTTTCCATAGTGGCTGTACCATTTTACATTCTCACCAAAAGTGCATTAAGAGTTCCAATTTCTCCACATTTTCACCACCACTTATTTTCTGTATTTCTGTATTTCTGTTATTTTCTGTATTTGTTTATAGTAGCTATCCTGTTGGGTATAATGTGATATCTCACTATGGTTTTAATTTGTATTTCTCTAATGATTAGTGACGTTGAACATCTTTACCTAGTCTTGTTGCTCATTTGTACATCTTCTTTGGAGAAATACCTATTGAAGTTTTTGCCCATTTTATGTATTTATTTATTTATTTATTTTTGAGACAGAGTCTTGCTCTGTCTCCCAAGCTGGAGTACAGTGGTGCGATCTCAGCTCACTGCAACATCCGCCTCCCAGGTTCAAGGGATTCTCCTAGCTCAGCCTCTCAAGTAGCTGGGACTACAGGTGTGCGCTACCACACCCAGCTAATTTTTGTATTTTTAGTAAAGACAAGGTTTCACCATGTTGGCCAGGCTGGTCTCGAACTCCTAACCTCAGGCGATCCGCCCACCTTGGCCTGCCAAAGTGCTGGGATTACAGGCGTGAACCACCACACCTGGCCTTTTTTTTGCCCATTTTAATAGGGTTATTTTGTTGTTGTGATTTATTTTTTTAAGGAGGAAAATTACATTTTGCTGTTATAAATTCAAAGGAGTTTTCTTTCATCTCTTATTACCTTGATCCCAATATCGAATCCTTAACCCACAATCTGAGCCTTTCTCACCACCTTCACTGCTACTACCCGAGTCCAAACTATTCTTTCATCTTCTTTTTTCACCCTTGCCCCTACCACCAGCAGTATTATCTACCCAGTTGCCACAGTTAGATCAGGTCACTTGTTTGACTAAAACTCTACAGACAGCTTCCTATCTTGTGCAGGAAAAAAGCCAAAATCCTTTTCTTGGCCTACAAAACTCTACACATTCTGCCCCTCATCCCATCTAAACTCTCAAACTTCATTTCCTGCTACTCTCCCTCACTCATACCAGCCTCCTCCTCACTGTGCCTTGAAAGTGTCCCGCATCCCACTTCAGGGCCTTTGCATTTGCCATTTCCTCTGCTTGGATTGCTCTTAACCTAGGTATCTGCATGGCTCTTCCCTCATATTCTGTAGGTCTTGACTCAAAGGTCACCTTCTTGCTGCGTGAGGCTCTCCCTTGGCACATTATCGAGATTACAGGCCATCCTCAAACCCATAGATACAAGTATGAAGGCATGCATGATTCCTAATCCTCTTCCCTAGTTTATTTTTCTCCTGGCGCTTATCACTATTTTTTTTTCTTTCTGTTTTTGAGACAGGGTCTGGCTCTGTCGCCCAGGCTGGAGTGCAGTGGTGTGATCTCAGCTCAATGTAACCTCCACCACCTGGGCTCCAACGATCCTCCCACCTCAGCCCCCTGAGTAGCTGTGACCACATGTGTGCACCACCACGCCCAGCTATTTTTTTGTATTTTTAGTAGAGACAGGGTTTCACCATGTTGGCCAAGTTGGTCTTGAATTCCTGGGCTCAAGTGATCTGCATGTCTCCCAAAGTGCTGGGATTACAGGCATGAACCACCACACCCTGCCCATTTATCACTATTTAACATACCACATGTTTTACTCATTTGTTTCTCACCTAGACTGTAACTTCGTGAAGGGATGAAATTGTGTGTTTTATTCACTTCCATATCCCTAGTACCTAAAGAGTATCTGGAACATAGTGGGCACTTTAATAATATTTGCTGACTGAACAGGGAGTTTTGAAAGCAGAGTAGGTTGAATAATAGGAATGCAACTTCCACTGCATCTTGCATCGCCTGCCTGCCTTGAACATCAATCACTTTCCCCCTTGCCTTTCCACCACCACCACCATCAAGATTGTGGCAATAACAATTATAGACTCCCATTAAATGGTACATTTTATTTAAAATAATGATTGCCTCCTATGTTTAAGAAATTCACCTGGCCGGGCATGGTGGCTCACACCTGTAATCCCAGCGCTTTGGGAGGGCGAGGCAGGTGGATCACAAGGTCAGGAGATGAAAACCATCCTGGCTAACATGGTAAAACCCCATCTCTACTAAGAAATTCACCTGGATGGGCATGGTGGCTCACACCTGTAATCCCAGCACTTTGGGAATGCAAGGCAGGTGGATCACAAGGTCAGGAGATCGAAACCATCCTGGCTAACATGGTAAAACCCTGTCTCTACTAAAAATACAAAAAATTAGCCAGGTGTCGTGGCATGTGCCTATAGTCCTAGCTACTCGGGAGACTGAAGCCTGAGAATCACTTGAACCTGGGAGGCAGACATTGCAGTAAGCCAAAATCATGCCACTACACTCCAGCCTGGGCAACAGAGTGAGCCTCCATCTCAAAAAAAAAAAAAAAAAGAAAGAAATTCACCTGTCTCCTTCAGCACCCAGTATGGGCCCTTGCAGATAACACTCCAATATATGCCAATTAATTTTGATTTAAAAGAACACAGTCCAGATGCAGTGACTCACACCTGTAATCCCAGCACTTTGGGAGACCAAGGCACCGATCGCTTAAGCCTAGAAGTTCAAGACCAGCCTGGGCGACATGGTGAAACCCTGTCTCTACAAAAAATACAAAAATTAGCCAGGCATGGTGGCACATGCCTGTAGTCCCAGCTACTCAGGAGGCTGAGGTGGGAGGACTGCCTGAGCCTGGGAGGTCGAGGTTACAGTGAGCTGTGATCACACCATTGCACTCCAGCCTGGGTGACAGAGTGACACCCTGTCTCAAAAAAAAAAAGTTGCCTTTCTACACACCAGCAATGTCTTTGAAATTTTGATTGAAAAAATAATGTATAATAGCAACAATAAAACAATAAACATAATTATTCTCATGTTGCTTCATATCTATTAATTTTGAGACAGAGTCTCTGTCACCCAAGCTGGAATGCAGTGGCACACTCTCCGCTCACTGCAATCTCTGGCTCCCACATTCAAGTAATTGTCGTGCCTCAGCCTCCTGAGTGGTTGGGATTACAGGCATGCACCACCATGTCCGGCTAATTTTTGTATTTTTAGTAGAGATAGGGTTTTACCATATTGGCCAGGCTGGTCTCGAGCTCCTGACTTCAAGTGATTTGCCTGCCTCGGCCTCCCAAAGTGCTGGAATTACAGAGGTAAGCCACTGCCCCCAGCCCTTTTAATTTTTTTTTTAAAGACTATGAAGAGACAGATAAAAAATGAACAGAAACTCCCAAAAGTGTAACAGGAGAGTTGCCGTCTTCTGTTTCGGCAGGAATGGAAACGAACAATACACTCACACAGAGGCAGAAATTACAGTTCCACAGGTCATTCATGGACCACCACTATATGCCAAGCACTGTGGATTTTAAACACTCTAAAATGAACTAATTTATTAGACATAATTTCTACATAACACATTTTTCAGTAGACTGGTGTTCCTACAAATCATTTAAACTTTATTTTTTCTCTCTTCTCATTGTTTAAACTTATCTATATTTCTTTATATGTAGTTGTAATCATAACAACAGAGCACTTCCGCATCCATTGTCTGACAAAATTATCTTGTGCATCTTACGACAAGTGTAGAGGCTGAGAATGTGGACTCTGTAGACACATGGGAAGAACACTTACCGTGTGTGGCCTTGGGCAAGACCCTTTGGTTTCCACAACTGAAAAATAAACATAAAAACAGTACCTAATTCATGGGGTTGTTATGAGAGGACTAAGTGAGTCCATATGTGCCAAGTCCTTAGATGAGGACCTGGCAAAAGTAAATGCTATGTAAGTGTTAGATACATTTCTTACTGTATACGTGAAGACATTAAGACTTGGAAAGCTCGCCGGGCGCGGTGGCTCACGCCGGTAATCCCAGCACTTTGGGAGGCCGAGGTGGGCGGATCACAAGGTCAGGAAATGGAGACCATCCTGGCTAACACGGTGAAACTCCATCTCTACTAAAAAATACAAAACATCAGCCGGGCGTGGTGGCGGGCGCCTGTAGTCCCAGCTGCTCGGGAGGATGAGGCAGGAAAATGGTGTAAACCCGGGAGGCGGAGCTTGCAGTGAGCCGAGATCCGGCCACTGCACTCCAGCCTGGGCGACACAGCGAGACTCCGTCTCAAAAAAAAAAAAAAAAAAAAAAAAGACTTAGATACCTCTAATTTTTCTCAGTTACTCTACCAGCCAGCAATGGCAGAGCAAGAACTGAAACCATATCTTTTCTCTTCAAAGCAGGGTTCTTTGTATTCCACATATAGTGGAAAAGTGGTAAATACCAAACTAAATAGCATGGTTGGGAACCGGACATAGACATGCAGGAATGAAAATAAAATTTCAGAGTTAAAGGGGACTTAAAAAATCATCAATCTAATCCCCTTCCCATTCAAGATTCTATCTGCCCCCTACCCATCTCCCGAAGGAATTGACATGTAGTCTCTGAACAGCTCCAACAACAGAAGACTGTCTCAGGAGGTAACCCATTCCATTTTCTGAGGATTAAAACACTCTCCATGTCTCCTAGTTACTAACACATTACTTCTAGTTCTGTTTTAAAAGAGTAAGTCTAACTGATTCTAGGACTTTCTGTTTCATGTTTCACTTCATTTACTTCTACACATCATTCTAAATTTGATTTTAAAATAGCAAAATTATTGTATGAGAAAACAGGTGGCACCATTTGAAATACCTCAAGAGGAAATTCAACAAGATTACAATCTCCTGTCTTTAGCATTCATAGTTAATTCATTACATCTGAGATAATATTTCAAAACTTATTGCTGTTCTTGTAAAGAATCCATACGATCTCCAATTAAAGTATACTGTTTTTTAAAAAGCTATTAAAAACAAAGGCAAGTTTTCTTTTTAATTTTGAACCATCACATATTTATTAAACATTGAGGCTTTATTATATGATCAGTGCTGGAAAGAAAACTTCATAACACATGGTTCTCACCCAGTTGTGGACAGCAGTGTTTTCAGTATGGCTTGAATGGACTATATAAATAGATTTAGAACTGCTAGATTTTGTTGGCAGGGAAAGTTACCGGGATTTCAACACTGTCAAGGCAACATTGACAAGTGCCTTCAACACCGTCAAGGCAAAAGTATTTCTTGGATGAATAAATGACTGTTGATTTTGAAATGTGATCTAAAATTAAGTGACACTATTTAGATTTTTATTCAAACTTTCAAATTCTTGCTTCCTTCATTTAGATTTGAAAACATAAGAAACTAAAATTTTGGTTGTCATCTCGTGGGAAGAGTCTTGATACAGTGTGTAAAAAAGGTAACAAAGGTATCTATTTTCATCTAGTTCTTAAACATCTATGTCTTCTGAAATAAAAATATCCACTTAAAGTGGAGTTTTACATTTATATCTATTTGCTAGAGTATTAATTTTTTATTTTGTATATTTTTATTCTTCCTTTAGGGTTTGAGTAGACAACTTTTTAAGTCTGATTTTAAATTATGAACTAATATGAAAATGGAGTAAAATGAATCACTTTGTGGTTAATAAATTCAATGTTCTGTTTACAGACAGATTGTTATAAAATTACTGATATATTCTCGCAGAAGCAGTAAAGGTTATGTCAAATAAGTACTGAAAAAATTATACTACGTAGTGTTAATGATGTTACCTTAACATACCAGCTTCAGGGGCTGCATAATTGTTTCTGCTAACCCATAAATTTTTGAGTAACAACAAAATTATTGTGATTTTTCTTACTAAATAATTCATACATTACAAAGCATGTATGTAACAAGGTCCATGAATCACTAAAGCATATAATGATCATATATCTAATGACATAGCTCTTTTCATAAGATGAATTCAAATAGATTTATGTATTTAGGTTAACTAAGAAATACTGAGTTTATAAGATTCATAATTCTATCAACAACAACAAAAAAAACTTCAAATCTTCTTTAAGACGTTCAGTTTCCATGATTTGCTTTTAAAACTGAAAGCTTTTGTTTATCAAAATCCTTGTTTAAGCTACTTTTCATGAAGTTTTACAGCTTTTAAATTGATACTATAAATATCACCGAAGATAAATTAATAATATAATGGAATAGTACAATGTTCATAAACTGTATTTAAAATGATATAAGTGCAACTAAAATAGCCATAAGCAATACTACATAAAACGGTTACTAGTAGTAACTGATTCTCTTTATCCAGCAACTAGGATCTAAGAAAGGATATTTTCATTTACTAACACTTTACATGCCTTACGTTGGTCTTATCTTAAATAATCTCAAACCAAATGTATCCTTTTCATAATGTTACTAAAAATGATCCCAAATGAAATTTCATCTACTTAATCAAAACTAGGTTTCATAATTAAAAATTTTTAAATTCTAAGACTGCTACATACAAAATGATGTCAACATGCATTAACTATTTTAATCTCTAACATTTTTTAACCTCATGCAGTCATATTTTATCATACTAACATTGAATCCTTTACTAATTTTTAAAAATTGTTTTTAATTGTGATAAAATACACATAATATAATATTTACCATGTTAACCTTTTTTTTTTTTTTCTTTTTAGAGACAAGGTCTTGCTGTGTTGCCCAGGCTGGAGTGCATTGGCTGTTAACAGGCACAATCATGCCACACTGCAGCTTTCGAACTGTTGGGCACAAGTAATCCTCCTGCCTCCACCTCCTATTAACTGTACCATTCAGTGGTTGTAAGTACATTGATGTTATTCTACAACCATCAATACCATCCATCTACAGAACGTTTATCATATTGCAGAACCCAAACTCTGTACCCATCAAACACTAATTGTGCATTGTCCTCTTCTTTTTTTTTTTTTTTTTTGAGACGGAGTTTCACTGTTGTTACCCAAGCTGGAGTGCAATGGCATGATCTCGGCTCACTGCAACCTCCAGTTCCCAGGTTCAAGCCATTCTCCTGCCTCAGCCTCCCAAGTAGCTGAGATTATAGGCACGCGCCACCACGGTTGGCTAATTTTTTGTATTTTTAGTAGAAATGGGGTTTCACCATGTTAGCCAGATTGGTCTTGAACTCCTGACCTCGGGTGATCCTCCTGCCTCGGTCTCCCAAAGTGTTGGGATTACAGGCGTGAGCAACTGCATCCAGCCTGTCCTCTTCTCTTTAATAATTTTAAGAGCCTTATTAAGATATAATTTCCATGCCATACACTTCTTTCATTTAAAGTGTACAATTCAGTGGTTTGCATATAGTCACAGAATTGGGCAACCAAACCCAATCAATTTTAGAACAGTTTCATCAGCAGCAAAAGAAACCCCATGCCCCTTAGTGGTGACTCCCCATTTGTCCCCAACCTCTTTAGTCCTAGGCAAACACTAATCTACCTTCTGTCTCTACAGATTTGCCTATTCGGAACATTTCATATAAATGGAATTATATGAGATCTTTTATGACTGGCTGATCTCACTTAGTGTAATTTTTTTTTTTTTTTTTTTTTTTTTTGAGACAAAGTCTGGCTCTGTTGCCTAGGCTGGAGTGTAGTGGCGCGATCTCGGCTCACTGCAACCTCCGCCTCCCGGGTTCACACCATTCTCCTGCCTCGGCCTCTCGAATAGCTGCGACCCTGTAGTCCACCACCACGCCCAGCTAATTTTTCCTATTTTTAGTAGAAACGGGGTTTCACCGTGTTTGCCAGGATGGTCTCGATCTCCTGACCTTGTGATCCGCCCGCCTCAGCCTCCCAAAGTGCTGGGATTACAGGCGTGAGCCACCGTGCTGGGCCTCACTTAGTGTAATATTTTTAAGCTTCATCATTGCTATAGCTTGTATCAGTATTTCATCCCTTTTTTGAATGAGTAATATTCCATTGTGTCACTATGCTACATGTTACCTGTTCATCAACTAATGAATATTTTTGTTTCCACTTTTTTGCTAGTATGAATAATGCTGATATGAACAATTGTGTACAAGTTTTTGTGTGGATATATGTTTTCAGTTCTCTAGGGTGTATACCTAGGAGCAGAATTGCTGGGTCATATAGTAATTCCGTGTTTAATATTTTGAGCAACTGCCAAACTTTTCCAAAGCAGCTGCACCAATTTACATTTCCTCCAGCAATGCATGAGTTTTTCATTTCTCCACATTCTCATCCACACTTATTTTTGTCTTTTTGATCACAGTCATCCTAGTGGATATGAAGTGGTATCTCGTTGTGGGTTTATTTTGCATTTTCCTAATGATTAGTTGAACATCTTTTCATGTGCTTATTAGCCATTTATATATCTTCTTGGAGAAATGTGTGTTCAAATCAAATTTTCAATTGGGTTGGTGAGCTTTAAAAGTTATTTATGTATTCTGCATATAAGTCCTTTATCAGATATATGATTTGTACATATTTTCTCCCATTCTGTGGGTTGTCTTTCATTTTCTTGATAGAGACCTTTGAAGCACAAATATTTTACATTTTGATGAAGTCATGGTTGTATTTGTCCATTTTTTCTTTCGTCATCTGCCTTTATCCTTTTCCGAAATGTTATAGGTTGGTGCAAAAGTAATTGTGGTTTTGGTTTTGCCTTTTTTTTTTTTTTTTTTTTTTTTTTGGTGAGACGGAGTCTTGCTCTGTCGCCCAGGCTGGAGTGCAGTGGCGCGATCTCGGCTCACTGCAAGCTACGCCTTCTGGGTTCACGCCATTCTCCTGCCTCAGCCTCCTGAGTAGCTGGGACTACAGGCGCCCGCCACCACACCCGGCTAATTTTTGTATTTTTGGTAGAGACAGGGTTTCACCATGTTAGCCAGGATGGTCTCCAACTCTTGACCTTGTGATCCGCCCACCTTGGCCTCCCAAAGTGCTGGGATTACAGGCATGAGCCACCGCACCCGGCCACCTTTTTTTTTTTTTTTTAATTGCCAAGTTTGTGTTGGTGGAAACTGTTTTAGCCACATTTTCATTAAAAGAAAAAAAAAATTCCACATCTGATCTCCAATTTATATTAGAAAACTACTGTATGGACTGTGGTCATACTAATAACACTTCTTATTGTTGGGAAAGCCCTGGTGAAACATTTGTCAAGCGCATAAAATGATATGAAAGTGAAATCTAGTAACTAAGATTTGTGTTCTATCGATTGTGTAGCTTAAGTAATTTTTCATTACTAACAGATTTAATAAGTATAAGTAGTTAAAGATTCAGACTTGGCACTAGTCATTAGCATGTAATTGAACTAGTAAAAAAGATCAGTTAAAGCTGTGTTGATTACCACCTTATCTTTGAAAGGCAATTAAAGACCTCAATCATTGCAACAAGATTTGATTGTGCAGCCTTTATTGGACATTGATCTTTCAGCAAAGTGCAGTTACATTTTCCATTAATTGACAGTAACAGAATTTAACTCTGATACCCTAGACTGTTGACCCAGGTGAGATGTAATGCTAAGTACTTGTTAGGTTAAGATGCCCCCAGATGTCATTATTGTCTGAATAGTAAGTGCTGAAAAACAGTAGATACTTAATCCACTAGCTTTAGGATAAGGTTTCTGTTGTCTGCATTAGCTTTTCAGTGAAGTGAAACCAAGATCTTTGCCTTTTATGTCATCCCACTTATTCAAACATCATTAACAGAGTTAAAAGATATTTCATGAAGAACTATAGATGTTTTGTGCTTACAGTTTTGGGTGAATATAAATATAAATGACGTGAAGTAAAATGTACTTTAAAAAATACATATGGTTTTTAATACTTAAAAATGTTTCAGCCAGGCGCGGTGGTTCATGCCTGTAATCCCAGCACTTTGGGAGGCCAAGGCGGGCGGATCACTTGAGATCAGGAGTTCAAGACCAGCCTGACCAACATGGTGAAACCGTCTGTACTGAAAATACAAAATTAGACAGGCGTGGTGGTGCATTCCTGTAATCCCAGCTACTCAGGAGGCTGAAACAGGAGAATCGCTTGGACCTGGGAGGCGGAGGCTGCAATGAGCCAAGATCGCACCACTGCACTCCAGCCTGGACAAGACTAAAACTCCTCTCAAAAAGAAAATTTCAATTTTTACAGAAGTCAACGTTAGAAAAATATTAATGCCCCAAAATGTGTGGTAAACTATAACTGATTGTACAATTTGGCATTTTAGGACATCAGCACTAAGAAAATAGAGATTTTTGTACTAGCAGCCTCTCTCATGCTCCCAAATAGGTTACTGAATCTTTATAGTGGCTCAAACCTTACACAGGAACTGAGAATTTTGCCTAGAAATTTATTCCAATATGTGATCATTCATTTGTATAGGAATAACAATAGAAGAGATGCAAGGTTTTGTACTAAAAGTACACCTTTATTAAAACAGTTTTGGTTGGATTATTTTAAACACAAAAATCCTATCAAAGAAATATGACAGAAAAGCTAAATCAGTGGTTTCACCAATTAAGGAAACTACTCATATGCAGAAGGGCATGGCCTGTTCAGCTCCCCACATGGCACTTCAGGGTTAGTGGGCATGTGCCTTCAGCGCACCTCTCATTCTCTCTCCATCACCTTGTTTTTGAAATGTTTTAATTAATGAAGTCCTTTAAGTAGAAATGTAAATATATGGAGCAGAAGAATGTGGCTTATAAAAACAGAGCTTTTGCAGAGACAAAAGTAAAACTGATGCACATTTTCGGGTAGAAAAGTCTCTTGTTTCTTTCTTCTCAGATTGCAAGTGGAAAAACTAAGACACAAAGGAGGAGAGTTATTAGCCTGAGGTCAAAAAGACAGCACTGATACTAAAAATAGACTTAGTCTCCTGACTTACATGTTTATACTTTCTCCCTTTTAGGCCATAATACTTTGGTATAATATGCAGCTTTAAAGAAAAAAACCATTGCTGTTCAATGGGAAGTACTGTTTTCAGACTAAAAGTTTACAAGACTTAATAAATCCAATGAATGATATTTAAATTTTTAAACCACACCTTTACCCATTGTTGAGTTCATCCTTCACCATGATCAACTCCATAAGAGCAAGAGGTCTATTGATTTTCATGTAATACAAGAAAATATTACATTTGCTTAATTGTTATAGTGAGCACATCAGACAAGAAATCAAGGCCCTATTTAATGCTGCAAGCAGCAGAGAATTACAGAGATCAATAGGGTAGTTTGTCAAAGATGTTCTCCAAGGAGACTTACCTATCACATATGGACAAGAAGTCACACTGACTATAGCTATTGAAAAACAGGTAAGCAGAGTCAGCAGTACAAATTATCAGAAATCAAACAGGCCAGTGTGAAAAGAGGTGCAACTCTACTGAAAAGCTGTATTCATAGTCTGGTAATTAAAAACCATTTTATCAGCCTTGTGTTGGGACCAAACCTTTACAGCCAGTATTGACAAGACCAGCAGCAATGAATGAGCAGTATTTGACTTAAAACTTATGAGCTATAGTTATTTAACTTTGCCCATTACAGAGGAAATCAGTTCTAGCCTTCCCTGCAAAATGCTAATAGTCAGTTGTTTTATTATTAATGAAGCTTAATGTAACACTATCTCCTTTGTGTAAGCCATTCATTTAACTAGTGTCAAGTATATTCTTCTGGACTACATATATTGGCGTAAGTACTTCTTTGATTAAACTGTTACTTAGAATTGCTTTTAGACAAGTGAACACTACATATATTTGCAGAACAGTTCACTCTCTGTAGATCATTTAAAATGACTACCTTTAACGAAGCTGGTTTGTATTACTTCATTATTCTGGTGCCTTCACCTCAGTCACTTCCACTCACTTTCTCTACTGACTTGACAGGAGTAAGCATCCAAATGTTGAATTTTATTAAATGTTTTGCTACAAAAATGTGTAAGTGTTGCAGAGTATCAGCAACACATTAACATAAAATGATATATAATGTATGTTTGTAATTATGGGAGAGATCATAAATCTTAAACACCCATTGGTTTAGAAATTAAATAGTTCTACTTAGTTCTCCCTAAATTACTCCAAATTTCTGAAATTTACCATTCATCTGGGTATGTTGTGACTACCCCAAGGATAAATTTTTTAAATGACTTGGCTTTCAAAAATGCAATTAAGTTAATAAAATTCAAATGCAAAAGTGCCATTAGGTCTTTAAAATTTCAGCCCACTCCCTATTGCCAATAAGTCTATGGATATATACCATTTCAGTTAATTGCTTTTATAAACAGTTACTAAATTTATTTTTCTGCATCTTTCTAGAAGACCTTAATTGTTCTGGCAGCTTTATAGGAAAGCTATTTTAACTTTTAATGAGTCTGAATTTCATTCACCTTGCTACACTTGTATTAACCACTTATTATTACATTTTAAAAACGATATGGTTTTGGACTCTTTAAGCAACAAGAAGTTTCAACATTACACTCCAACCCCTCCTCCAGGTAAATGACACAAGGCCTTTAAAACATTTCTATTTACAGTCCTGGCAGCTGAATGGCTTAGTCTTGAGATTACAATTAGATTCTCATCAATTTTGGATTTGCCAATGATATAATATTTCCATCATACATCCTAATGTCTTCTACTTCTTTTTCCATTGTTATATAAAATATTTTCCCCCCTCCTCTTTTGTGTGGGCATCTCTATTTTTTCTTCAGAGTTGATTTAAATTGTTAATACCTATAGAATCTATTACATTGTAATAATTTTTTATCTGTAGGTTAACCTAGTTCTAGGGAAAAAATGGTGTGAAGCTTCATGTGTTTGTAGTTCCCATCAGCTAAACAGAGTACGTAATATATAACAGTGTACAAAAAGCTTCACCTCTTGAGGGCAATGATTCATCTTAAAGAAGCAGATACTGTAGAAAGAAAAAAGTATTTGCAAAAGTTTTATTTTAAAGGATCAAAAATAAATACTGCACATATACACAGAGAAAATCCACTGATATTTATGTTCTTCGATGCACACTTTCAATACATGGCACCTTCGTCTTCTTTATTGAGAAAATAAACTGTTATGGGTCCATAACTGGTATGTACAGTCTCTGTGACTCTGGCAAATAACCAGGAGCCAAGTCCATATAATAAAGTTGGAATACCTAGAAAACAAATGAATATGTATAAACATCAATGCTTATTAATCATGCAAGTTACTAATCACATATAACACTTCAGCAATGTTAACAAATTATAATGTGGTAAAATATAAAAATATTACTCAACATTGACTCTATGATTATCTAAGGGCTCAATTTCATCAACGTGGAACATGATGGCAATTATGTGAGTCCAGAGGTTTTCATACTACAGACAAGGCAGGTATAAATGTTAATTCAAGTACTTCATAAATTCATTACCCTTGAATAATCATGAAATAATTCTATATTATTTTCATAAATAAGAAAATGGAGAAGAATACTCATTAATTTAGTTGTAGATACTCCTGATTATTAGCCTTGAGCTAAAATTACTAGGTTAACACTACTGGGTTTTTGAGATGGAGTCTCACTCTGTTGCCAGGCTAGAGTGCAGTGGTGTTATCTCGGCTCACTGCCACCTCCACCTCCTGGGATCAAGCGATTCTCCTGCCTCAGCCTCCTGAGTAGCTGGGACTACAGGCACGTGCCACCATGCTCAGATAATTTTGTACTTTTTTAGTAGAGATGGGGTTTCACCATGTTGGCCAGGATGGTCTCGATCTCTTGACCTTGTGATCCCCCTGCCTAGGCCTCTGAAAGTGCTGGGATTACAAGTGTGAGCCACCGCACCCAGCCAACATTACTGTTCTTTAAGTTAGTAGTAACACTAATGGCTGAAGTAATTTTTGTGCAACTTAAAAGAAGCTAGGTCAAAGAGCTGTCTTTAAAATCTAAGGCAAAACCTAACTCCAAGTAAGATTTCAGTACAACAGGCATGAGAAAAAAACTATTATTCAGCATTTTTTTAGTTGATCTGAAAACAACCTTGTTTCAGCCAATTTGAAATCGATATACAGTAGACTCCAACATGTGTTTCTTCTTTGGAATTGATAAGATTTTGCTGCTTTGAGATTAGTTGCCATTTGTGATATACAAAACTAAACACACTATCCAGAGGTATGCATTAAGCACTCACTTGCATATAAGACTGTTGGACACAAAACAAACTTTCACAATTCCTATCTTTTTAAAGGTACTTATTTAAAATCAATGACTACTAACATATTAAAAATGTAATAAAACCATAGGCACATGAATCAATAACAAATAGTATGCTCTGGACAAGCATTAATTTTATGCTCTTTTGAGGGAAATGGGCAGAAAGTGATACTTTAAAAGGATAGCTGTACATTTGGAAAATCACTTACTTTCTAGTAATAAAGAAAGCGGCCGGGCACTGTGGCTCATTCCTGTAATCCCAGCACTTTGGGAGGCCGAAGCAGGCAGATCACCCGAGATTGGGAGTTCGAGACCAGCCTGACCAACATGGAGAAACCCCGTCTATACTAAAAATACAAAATTAGCTGGGAGTAGTGGTGCATGCCTGTAATCCCAGCTACCCAGGAGGCTGAGGCAGGAGAATTGCTTGAACCCAGGAGGCAGAGGTTGCAGTGAGCCAGATCACACCACTGGTGACAAAGAGAGACTCGACTCAAAAAAAAAAAAAAAAGAAAAGAAAAAAGCAACACATGCTCTGGACTAATCATATTGCTAAATTTTTGTCTTATTTTTCTGCAAGAATATATTTGCTGTGTTAAGCTCTTTTGGAGTGTGTTTGTTGAACTACTTTGTGCTTCTCCCTGAAGCTGCATTCCAGTCACTGTGATACCAGAGATTAATCAGGAGAAGCATCACATCACTAGCTGGTAATGAGGAGAAGAGGAAAAAAATGCCCATTCAGGCTAGCATCTCTCTATTTTTAGGAATATACTGGGTCACAGTTTGTCACCACCACGGGGTTCCCTGGAACTCCTATGAAACCTTAGTGTATCACCTTCTTTGCCCTGATAATGTCCAAAAGAATCTCTAAATACCTCAAGGGAATGTCATCAAAAAATCCACAAAAAACTAGAATAATAAAGCTACTTATAAATCATTTAACCACAAAGAAAAAAAAAAAGGCAAGTGGCACAGGGGTGGGAAGTGGAAAAAGAAGAATACGAACAAGCTAGGCAGAAATGAGAGAGAAGTAGAGGGAGTAGTTGAAATAAAAAATGAATTTAAAATGCAATATCACAACTTCAAAAGCTGAAAATCAATGGAATGAGGAAGAAAAAAATAGGCTCTAGAAGCAAGTACTAATTTTCTAAGCATACTGAGACTGAAATATATAAAATAGGCCTCTTAAACCAAGGCTAAGTATATAAATTTAAGGAATACCTGGTGACACTGACAATTTTGTTTTACAATATTTATCAGTTATCAGTTAACATATTGATTTTAAAAATTCATACTTTTGAAAAATCATAAATACAGAAAAAAACAGTCAATATCTTTTCAGCTAAAATCAAGGGCTGATTTTTATTAAGATTACTAGCTTAATAATTATATCTTATTAAAAAATAACCAGGAACCATTAGCAGTAATGCTGTTTGACAGGAGATGGAGTTATGATCTGAGTCAGAAATTCTGTATTTTTTCCCTTTGCTGTCTATTTAATGCAGTCAGACTAATACTCAAAATGGGAAGGTTTGCCACCTATATAACTTATATATTACAAAATCTTCTTTGTAGCACAATCTTCTTTGTATGCTTTAAAGTCTGTAAGATTCTATGGAAAATTCAATTTTTTCTGAAAAATTAAATTTATATCTGAAACATATAACATCAAAAGAACCTGAAAATCAGTTCTTTGCATAATAATTCACTTTGAGTCAGTTGAACAGTAGGTAAACCACTGTCAAATTAAGTACTTTAAAAAATTAGAATTCCTCAGTAAATCCCATTCATTCCAATGGTAAGTTGCTTTTCTTAAATCTCAATCTACCTCTCAGCAGGATACCTAGACTGGTAAACCATCAGTAAAATGTCAGCTTCCAATGAAGGGAAGACGGAGGAGAAAAGGAGCAAATGGGTAAACAGAAATCTTTATTATTTACAAAATGGAAAAATGAATTACTCTAGTAATTACTAATTTGGAAGGGAAGAAGAGGAACAAAATCCTAAGTATAATATTAATAGGGTATGTACTTGATCATCCAGAGAGACGACTGTACATCACAGAATAGGAAAGGACTCTATTATCTAATTCACATCCCCTCTACCTTCAGACAAAAATTAAAAATAAATGTTACCAGATGTGTTCACCACTTTAAAATATTTTTAAATTTCCTTTATCAGTATATCCCAATTTGTATTAAAGCATGCATGAGCAAAAAGTTGTCCTTTTTGCCTAACTTAGAACTCTTACTCTCATTTTACCAGGATTTTTAGAATGTCTAAAAGACCATACATACCATTAAATCACTCTCTCACATTAAAAAACAAAACAAAACACACTACAACTGTTGTTTCTTTCAACTTTAAAAGGTTTTACTTTTCTATGTGTGGAATGTTCTGAGTATCCACTTTTTTGGGATGTCTTAATATCTATATCTAAAAGAGAGGCCCCTAATCATTAAGGTGATCTTAAACAAAATGTTAACACTAAAAATGTGACTTTAAAGGAAAAGAAGGCATTTGGCTCATGGTTTACCTATAACCCTCCCGTTATGCTTTCCCTATTATTCTTTAGGGAAGAATGATTTCTTGCTTATGAAAATGCTAAAATAAACTTATACTTCTCGAATCTAGTTAACACTCCAGTCTTTCCAAATAATTTCGAATTGAATTTCCTAAGTCACCTCACCCTTCAACTTCAACCAACCTCCAAAGTAGTGGGCATGCTCTATACAGTCCATCAGTCAAATAATAAGAGGCATTTTTAAAGGATAACACTTTGCTAAATAATTTTCTCCTTACAGGACAGTCCAGTGGAGTAACGGCTCAAAAAGTCCATGACTGACATATATGTTATTATAAGCAAAAATACACAGACCACTTTTAACCTTAATGGACGATCAGATTATGTAATAGTATTACTAGCACGGCTGCGCAGGGTATAGTTTAATTCTGGCTTTTAAAACCTGGCTGGGTAACATGTTTCATTCAGCTCCATGGCTAGATTTTGAATCATTGAAATCTAGATTGATTTTATACCAGCTATTAGTAAGTTCAAAACATCCTGAGGCCTTCTGTTTTCCCCTGACCTATTTCCATGTTCGTACCTCTTCTGTCATTAAACCAAAAGAAAATATACACCTAGTGACAGTAAACACCCTCAGGGCATCTCCATGAAAACATACAAATGCTAAAGACCTTTAAAAATATTTTAGGCCTAGGACCTCAGGAAGCGTTATGTCTGGTGAAAACCTTTGGTGCTTTTAGTAAAACAAACTTTGAATTCATATAAAGAAAACAAAGAAACTGAAAGAGTAGTTCCAGTTCTTGCAACATAATGCAGCCGCAAAGTGATGTTCACGGGAATGAGTCCTGCCATGCAGTAAGACGGGTGTCAACTTCGAAGCCACTTTCCAGGGGGCGTTTCCTGACGCCCCCTGGCTTAGTGCCCAGACAGGGGTCGTCCCTGGTTAACTTGGGCAGGACAGGAGGGCGGCCTGCTCCTCCCTAGGCCCGAGGATGCGCCCGCAGCAGGTGAACGGCTTCGGGAGCCAGGAGCTCGGCAAGCTGGCGACCCCTGGGCGAGGACTACAAAGGACCCAAGGCGAAGCCAGCGCCGGCAGGCAGAGCCGACCCCGGCGGGACTCCACCTGCCCGCGAGTGTTCGTCAAGTGCTCGGCTGCGGGGCCGTCCCGGCGGGGCGGGATTCACTGCGCGGGCGCGGCAGTCGCCACTCACCGAGGTTGACGACCTTGAGGGCCGTGAAGAAGCGGTTCTGCCGGGCCAGGTCCTGCCAGGGCGCCTTGGAGCAGTGGTACTTGATGAAGGGGAAGCAGCCCGTGCGCAGGACGTGGTAGTTGGTGCCCTGCACCGGCCAGTTGAAGTGAGAGAGGCCGAACTGGTCGTTGCGGACGGCGCTGTAGGGCACGCAAAAGGAGGTCCAGTGCGGCAGGCGCCGCTGCAGCAGGTGCCGCGTCAGCACCTCGGAGGCGCTGGGCTTGGGGCGGGCGGCGGCGCGCGAGGCCCACGGCCTGCACAGCAGCAGGCGGAGCGCGACCTCGTGGGCCATCCGCAGGGCCTCCATGGCCCGCCGCGCCGGAGACGCAGGCGGGTGTCCGCAGCCGCCGGCGCACAAGCGCGCCCCCGGGCGAGCGGCGGCAAGGCCAACGGGCGCCGCGCGGGTGCCCGAAAGCCCCCGGGGTGCGGCGGCGCGTGCGCACAGCGGTCCGGAGGACTCCCGCTGAGGGTGGAGTCCGGAGGACGGGAGGCGGGACCTGCGCGAGGCGGGACCTGCGCGAGGCGGGACCTGCCGGAGGCGGAGAGACACCTGCGTCAAGGGGCTGGTTTTGAGAGGCCTGGTATGACCTCGCGCCGTCATTAGTAACTCTGGGGCGGAGGAGGGATTCGGGCAGGTCTCATCAATTTGGGTCTGAGGAAAATTTAGGTGTAAAACAATTCAATAACTTAACCACCTCCGCAACGGGCAGAACTCAAACCCAGGTCTCCCTCCCACGCCCTGGGCTTCAGGGAAACTCTTGGGTGTCGTTGTTGAAACACGACGAGGCGTCCTCAGGGAAGTGAGTAGACAGCCGAGATCCCAGGTTTGCCTTGTTTGGTAAGGCCGGGAGCACTTTTGTGTGTAGGTCCTTGCTGTCGGGTTCACTGTTTAAAATTAGTCCCAGAGATTTCAAAATCAAAAGTTTATTTAAAAACCTCACGTGTCTCGGTGCAGCGTCCGAACACACAAGGCCACCTCCCTCTAAGAACCTGGTAGACGGACCAGGAGCGTCTTACCGACCTTTGTGGTCCTCAGTCACCCATTATCAATCCATTACTTTGGGAAAACCTTTGCTCAAACTTTGCGGCCTCCTGAGGCAATAACTTACAGACACGCCTACTTTTAAAAAAGCATTTCCTCTTTTGTCCTGAACTCATTTTGTTTGGAAAGGCCATACATAAACAAGATGATGTGTCTGAAACCACCTTATGTAAATGAGGTACGGTAATTACGCGTTAAGCATCATATAACAATTACTATCGTGGCTAAAAACTCAAGGGGGATGTAGGATAGTATGGCGAAATTTTATATTTCCCAGTTTTTTGTTTTGTTTTGTTTTTTTGAGACGGAGTCTCACTCTATTGCCCAGGCCGGAGTGCAATGGCACTATCTTGGCTCACTGCAACCTCTGCTTCCCAGGTTCAAGTGATTCTCCTGCCTCAGCCTCTTGAGTAGCTGGGATTACAGGCGTGCACCACCCTACCCTGCTACTTTTTGTATTTTTAGTAGAGACGCAGTTTCACCATGTTGGCCAGGCTGGTCTCGAACTCCTGACCTCGTGATCCACCCGCCTCAGCCTCCCAAAGTGCTGGGATTACAGGCGTGAACCACTGCACCTGGCCTATTCCCCAGTTTTTATTGAACATTGATTGAGCACCCACCAACATATGCCAAATCTTGAACTTTACCTTACAGAATTTGAACTTGAACTTTACCTTATAGAACTTGAACTTTATAGAATTTTTTTTTTTTTTTTGAAAGGATCTCACTGTTATCCAGGCTGAAGTGCAGTGGCTTGATTTCGGCTCACTGCAAATTCCTCCTCCTGGGCTCAATCGATCCTCCTACTCTCAGCCTCCCAAGTAGCTGGGACTACAGGTGTGTGCCACCTACACTCGGCTACTTTTTTTGGTATTTTTTGTAGAGGTGGAATTTTGCCATGTTCCCAGGCTGGTCTTGAACACTTGGGCACAAGTGATCCCCCCACCTCGGCCTCCCAAAGTGGTGGAATTACAGGTGTGAGCCTTTGCAACTGACTAAATTAAATTTTAAAAAACAGTAGAGTCCTTTTTCAAACAAAATCTGTTGAAGAAGATCCCCAACACATAAAATTGGTTAAAACTTATGCTTTAGACTGGGCGTGGTGGCTCACACCTGTAATCCCAGCACTCTAGGAGGCCAAGGCCGGTGGATCATCTGAGGTCAGGAGTTCGAGACCAGTCTGGCCAACATGGCGAAACCCTGTCTCTACTAAAAATACAAAAATTAGCCGGGCGTGGTGGCACATGCCTGTAGTCCCAGCTACTCAGGAGGCTGAGGAAGGAGAATCGCTTGAACCCAGGAGGTAGTGGTTGCAGTGAGCCAAGATTGTGCCATTGCACTCCAGCCTGGCTGACAGAGCGAGACTCCGTCTAAAAAGAAAAAAAAAAAAAAAACTTATGCTTTATTACTAAACATAAGTTCAAAAATTGTTTTAACCTTTTATTTTACTTATTTATTTTTTAGGCATGCATTCTCACTATGTTGCTTAAGCTGGTCTAGAACTCAAGCCAATCTGTCACTTCAGCCTCTTGAGTCACTGGGATTACAGGAACCACCATGTCCAGCTGTAAGTTCAAATTTTTTATATTAACTTTTTAGGTAAATAAAAAACAAAACAATGAAACCTCAGTGTGTTGTTGTCTTGGATTTTCTTTTGTTTTGAGCAGAAAGGGGATTCATTGGAAGAAAAGTAGGTAGCCCAAATAGTAAACAAGAAGTCTAGAGAACTAGTCTCAGAAAATGGGAAGGAACCAGGAGAGTCTGAACAGCAAAGACATAGATAAGACCAACAGGAACTAGTCTGGTGAGCATGCCATTGCTGGCCCCACTGCCACTGGACTCTTGATCCTATTGCTTGCAAAATATTGAAGCTGGGGGTTGTGGTTGTGAAAGTGGATCCTTTGAATTGAGTCGTTCCTATCCCCAGCTAAAACAGTGGAAAAGCCAGGGGGGAGAAAGCACTCAGGACACATGACATTACTTCAGAAATGTAATTCTCTGCAAGTCCCACTGCTGAAACTGCCTGTCGTGACCTGAGACCAGTTTTGTCTGTAACTGCTGAGATAACTTGCTGCAACTCTAGAATTAATTCTCCCCACTGCCTTACCTATTGAAGCTTGCCAGCTCCTCAGAACCTTACTAGTGCCAATGAACTTTCTCAAAGAGCACTATGTAACATTTTTCTGTTTTATAAAAGCTCCAACCTTCTCTTCACTCTTCGGACATATTGAAGACCACCTGGTCTGTGTGTATATACCAAATTGCAATTTTTCCCCCAAAAAAGTGTTAAATTTAGAGATTAATCTCTATATCTTTAACTTCAACATAGTGGCAGTTACAGCAGACTCAGTATCCAGTTTATTTCTGCATCTTCTGTTTTGGTTGTACACTATCAAGAAAATTCCGATTTCTTCAGAGTAGATACAAATAAGAGTGGTTTTTAAATTATTCATCTTGAAATCCGGCCATGTGCTTCAATTACAAAAATGGCAGCAGGAGATTAATTATGAGATCTACACTGAAATGACTTAACCTCAAATTAATGTGTGGGCAGTTTGCAATATGTTAAATTTTGGCATTATCTGTCTTTTGGCAATATAAAAATCTTTTCTAAAAAAACATGAAATTTGAATTGAACATGTGCAGAATCCCTGAAGTATGTCTGAGAAACCCTAGGTTCTGTGGCATATGAGATGAAAACCACTGACAAAGAGGACCAGGTATTACATATGTTCACTGCATTTTTGCATCAAGAAGGCTTGGGAAAAGGACTACCAAACTGAAAGACTTCTGTTGGTAACAGCTCTCTTGGCTAAACCTCGTCAGCAGTGAAGGTTTCTCTTAACCCGAGCCTCTTTCACTATCTCCCTTTCTTTTCTATTCTAAGGTAGAAAGTTCCCTCAAAGAGAGACAAAAATGGTGGGCCACACCCCATATTTAAGAGTGTTTGAATGAAACATTCCCTTACCTAAAGATACAGAGATGGAGAAAATAACATCTCTTCTGACTTTAAGATTATTTAGTGCCACTTCCATAATTGAAATAAGATAATTTCTCAAAACAACAGCAACCAACCCACAACTCAGATCACATGCTTGATTTTCTTTTCAGTTCCAATTCTTCATGGCTGTGAAACAGGGGCCTAGGGATGTTGCACTCAAAAGCCTAAGTTGATGTTTTTTAAAATAATTGTTTCCTATAATTAAGAATGCATTAAATAAATACATTTTTCCACATAGCATAGAGAAATGGCATATCTCTTAGAAGGAACCCCTTAAAATGATTATAAAGACCGATACTGTGTACAGCATTTAGCATGTGCACACATACTTCATGCTGCTCCTAGAAGGGACTTTGCATTCCTGTTTTGTTTTAAAGGCATATAGAACATTGTAGGTGCCTAGAACATAATAAAAATGAATTTTAGGCCGGGTGTGGTGGCTCTTGCCTGTAATCCCAGCACTTTGGGAGGCCGAGGCAGATGGATCACCTGAGGTTGGGAATTCGAGACCAGCCTGACAAACATGGAAAAACCCCATCTCTACTAAAAATACAAAATTAGCCAGGTGTGGTGGCACATGCCCATAATCCCAGCTACTTGAGAGACTGAGGCAGGAGAATCGCTTGAACCCAGGAGGCTGAGGTTGCGGTGAGCCAAGATTGCACCATCGCACTCCAGCCTGGGCAACAAGAGCGAAACTGCATCTCAAAAAAAAAAAAAAAAAAAAGAATTTAATAAAATTGATAAATTGGGATAGTTTAAAATTAAAATTTTCTATTCATCAAAAGGCATATTAAGAGAATAAAAAGGTAATTCATAGAGTGGAAGAAGTATTTGCAATACATATATCTGATAAAGCATTTGAGTATCTAGAACACACTCATACAAATCATTAAGAAAAAGACAATTCAATGGAAAAATGAACAAATATTTTAATGGACATTTTATAAAGAAGAATAACCAGTGGTCCAATAAACAGGTGAAAAGTGCTTGATTCCAATAATTATCTGAGAAACATAAATTAAAAACCTCAATGCAATACCATTACACACCTACTAGAATGGTTAAAGTAGAAGAGACAGAAAATACTAAGTGTTGCTTAGGATTTGGAGTAATTGGAACTCTTATACATTGCTGGCCCCCATTTTGGAAAAATTTTTGACAGTATAGTGCTATATATATAATAGCTGAATATAGGCATGCCTTATGACCCAGGCGTAACACACCTAGGTCTGTATTGGTATTAGTCTGCTTGGGCTGCCATAACAAAATACCACAGATTGAGTAGCTTAACAGAAATTTATTTCTCGCAGTTCTGGAGGCTAGGAAGTCCAAGATCAAGGTGCTGGCCAATTGGGTTCCTAATGAGGGTTCTCTTCCTGGCTTATACATGGCTGCATTCTCACTGTGTCTTTGCATGGTGGAGAGAGAGCTCTGCTGTCTCTTCCTGTTTGTTTGTTTGTTTGTTTGTTTGTTTGTTTTATGGTTTTGAGACAGAGAGTCTCACTCTGTTCGCCCTGGCGTGCAGTGGCACCATCATAACTCACTGCAGCCTAGAACTTCAGAGCACAAGCAATTCTCCTACCTCAGACTCCTGAGTAGCTGGGGCTACAGGCACACACCACCATTCTCAGCTATTTTTTTTTTTTTTTTTTTTTGGTAGAGATGGGGGTCTCACTATGTTTCATTTATATATGGTGTAAAAGCAGGCAAAAATTCATCTGTGCTATTAGTGTTATAAGGCAAGACAGTGATTAGTTACCCTTAGCGGAGTGGGTCTAGGGGGAAGCCTGTGACTAGAAGGAACATGAGGACTTCTGAGAATTATTATCTTTCTTGATCTGGATCCTGGTTGAATGAGTGTATTCACTTTGTGAAAATTATTTTAACGGTACACATTTGATATGTGTATCTTTCTCTTTCTTTCCTCCTTTCTTTTTCTTTTCTCTCTTTCAAGGCAGTATTTCGCTGTGTGATCATGGCTTACTGCTGTGTGATCATGGCTTACTGCAGCCTCTACCTCCCAGGTTCAAGAGATCCTCCCAGCTCAGCCTCCCAAGTAGCTGGGACTACAGACCCTAACCACTATGCCCAGCTAATTTTTTGTATTTTGTATTTTTTGTAGAGACATGGTCTCACTTTGTTTTGCAGGCTGATCTTGAACTCCTGGGCTCAAGCGATCCTCCTACCTCGGCCTCCCAGTGTGTTGGGATTACAGGCATGAGTTGCAGTGCCCAGCTGATATGTATACTTTTCTATATGTATATTACACTTCAATAAAAAGTTTGAAACAGAAAATGAGTTCTACAGGTAGTACTATATATATGTTAACACATCCTGTTGTTATCATTCATTAAGTATCTGCAGAGAACATGTCACTGTGGACTTGACCCAGATCTGATCCTGTACATGTATAGAATAGTTATTCTCATGTTGTTTTTCTGATCTTACTGTGAGATCCTGATTTATTCATTTATTTCTAAGTGTGATTTAAAACAGAATAGATTAGGGATGTAGTATTCAACTCACTGATATTCCCAGAGGGAGAAGTGTAGGAAAGTTACTGGGTGCCTATGTCAGCATGTTGGTAAAAGATAAAGGAACTATGAACAAGAGATAGAAATGTTTACATTTAGGATTTTATTTTAAATTTCTACTTTGAGGCCTAAGGGTCTTTGGTTCCAGGAAAGAAGGACTATGGAGACGATGCTGTCCTATTCATATTCCAGCATGCTTTAGAACTTAAAAATAGATACTCACAGGAGCCACAGACATTGGTTTTCTAGAAACCCAAATCTGCTTGGTGGCTCAGTGCCCCCTAAGCCATGCTCAGCACCAGGAGAGGTAGCTTGAGAGACCCCTGCAGCTGGATGAATGTTCATTAATTCTCCCCCCTTCCGCCAGTGGCAAATGCCGCTCCCTGCTCCGTTCCTGTATCCTCGTGTTCCCCTGGCAAGGACAATATACATTGGCTTTATGCAAAATTATCCTTGTGGAAATATGGAGTTATGGCACAAGTCGTTAGGAAAGGAAGGAACTGCTATATTCTTATCTAGATCTTCTTGGGTCTTTCTGTTGAACTGTTGAACAGAGGTTCTGAAGGCCCCCAAGGAGTAGGCTGGCAGCTCGGGCTGCTGTTACAGAGTGGCAAGAATTACTGTAGTAAAGCACTTTACTGTTAACATAGTGGGTATAGACTTCATCCAAAAGCATCTTGTGTCTCAACTACTGTCGGTGTTTCTCTTCACTGGAACGTAGACTTCCTAAGGCCAGGGATTTATGTCTGTTTTATTAACTTTTGTGATCCCAGAACCTAAAACAGTACTTGGCATATGGAAGGCACTCTACTTGTTGAATAAATGAGGGGTATGGGGGAAAGTGGGTGAAGTGAATACAATCAGTATGTTTGAAAGATGTTGGAGAAAGGAAATTACAATATGTAGGGTCAGTGGTTTTAACTAAAATTTTAATTTTGATTGTTGATGAGATTAAACTGCAGAATAGGTAAGAAAGGTATCCAAGGTCACATATCAGAATCAAGACTAAAAATTCTGTCCTCCTGGCTTTCAGTGTGCTTTTGGTTAGGAAACAGTTCTACTCCTGAAGCTGTCCTCTTAGGTTTAGCAAGAGTTCTGGACAGAAATAGGGTTACAATTAAGCATTAATCAGGCTGCACTTTGGCCGACTTCCTTGTGACTGAAAGTCACACAGCACTACGTACTGACCACTTGCATCCCCACTATTCCCACAGATGGGATTTCTGACTGTAGAATCATAAGGCTTTTCTTTAAGAATTGCTTAAGATGTTTTTCAGATCTCAAATTCCAGTGAAACAGCTGACACCAACCAATTTGAAGACCTCCACAGAGGAACGGAATCACTATGAGAATCCACTTTCTTCATCTCTCTGTCTCATGGCTTCGCCTTGCACTGTTTGACCAATCAATGTTCTCCACACTTTGGTCTGCCCTAAAACCCTTAAAAACCCAGCCCAGCCCCAAACTCCTAGGTGGAACAAATTTGAGATTTCCTCCCATCTCATTCTTTCTCTGCTATACCCCAGTCCCAGTGTCTTGGTGTATTACCTTGCTGTGCACATCAGGCAATAGAACAATTATGGTTACACTCCCAACTCCTGCTGTGAATGCTGAAACTCTGGAATCCGGAGGCAAGGAGACATATTCGTGACTTTTTTTTTTTTTTTTTTTTTTTGAGTTAGGGTCTTGTTCTATCACCCAGACTAGAGTTCAATGGTGCAATCTCAGCTCACTGCAGCCTCAACCTCCTAGAATCAGATGATCCTCCCTCCTTAGCCTCCTGAGTAGCTGGGACTGTAGGCACATGCCACCACACCTAGCTAAGTTTTTTATTTTTTGTAGAGATAGAATCTCCCTATGTTGCCCATGCTGGCCTTGAACTCCTGGGCTCAAGTGATCCTCCTGACTCCCAAGATGCTGAGATTTTAGGCGTGGGCCACGCTGCCCAGCCTATATTTGTGACTTTTAAAATCTGATAATGACATATGCTGATAGATAACAGTCCATTTTATGGGCATGTTTCCAATATCACAAATCCTCATATGTTTGGGGAAGTATTTGAAAACATAGCCAAATAAATTCACCTTGTCACATGGGTCATAGTTATGATTCCATCTTCGTAAAGTGAGCCTTGTTTTATCAACAGATACATTCATGAAAAGCATGTGACATTTTGGTAACATGAATAATTTTTTTATACCTAATCCTGAAGACGTTTTGGCTTCATTGCTGATCTTCAATGACAGTGGCTCTTAGCCCTTTAGCTTTAACTGTCTCTGCCCCCTCCCACACCCCATCTCACTGACAAGTAGTTAATGATCTATAAACAAATACTGAAATGCCCTAAGGGGACCCTCCATTTAAGGAGTCCTTGAATCCTGTGATAATGGAAATACAGTAGTCCACCAGCTGATTTACGATTTGTCAGTTTAGGTTTTTGAAGGGAAGTTCCACTGGTATTTTCAGATGGTGGAGGTTTTTAATTTACTGCACAATAGCACTAGACTTTCTCTATTTTTTTCTTTCAGGAGAAAACTTTCAAAAATGCTAACCTGCCTTTGCAGCTCCATTGTGTGAAATACCACTTTGTGTGTGCACGTTTCAGTTTCTTAAGCAAAAAGTGGCTACAGAGGGTATTAATCTCCATGTAATGATATCTACCAGTTTCTAGGTGTTTATGTTATTCTAGGTGCTTTACACCTACTGTCTCATTTAAACAACACTCCAGAGCAAGGTTTCATTTTCTTCATTTTCAGGCTGAGGGAATGAAATGTCAAAAGTCAGAGAGGGTAATGTGGTTATTCACAGTCACAGAGCAGGCAGGTGGTGGAGCTGGGATTTGAACCTGCAAGAGCTAGACTCAAAAACCCATACTTTGAACACAAAGACTCAGGAAATAGCATTCTAGACCCAAAATACAATCCAGTTAACCAGAAATCTATCTGGCTGAAAGTAAATTTTGGGGCATGCATGATGACTCAAAAAGAATGACTTTGGCCGGGCGCAGTGGCTCACGCCTGTAATCCCAGCACTTTGGGAGGCTGAGGGGGCGGATTACCTGAGATCAGGAGTTTGAGATCAGCCTGAGCAACATGGTGAAACCCCGTCTGTACTGAAAATACAAAATTAACCGGGCACGGTGACACATGCCTGTAATCCCAGCTACTCAGGAGGCTGAGGCAGGAGAATTGCTTGAACCTGGGAGGCGGAGGATGCCGTGAACTGAGATGGCGCCATTGCATTCCAGCCTGGGCAACAAGAGTAAACCTCCGTCTCACCAAAAAAAAAAAAAAAAAAGTGACTTCTGTTTTGTTTTGTTTTGTTTTTAGATGGAGTTTCGCCCTTGTCCAGGCTAGAGTGCAATGGCACAATCTTGGCTCACTGTAACCTCCACCTCCTGGGTTCAAGCAATTCTCCTGTGTCAGCCTCTGGAGTAGCTGATTACAGGCATGTGCCACCACACTCAGCTAATTTATGTATTTTTAGTGGAGATAGGGTTTCACCATGTTGGTCAGGGTGGTCTCAAACTCCTGACCTCAGGTGATTCACCGGCCTGGGGCTCCCAAAGTACTGGGATTACAGGCGTGAGCCACTGCACCTGGTCGAAAGAGTGACTTTCAAAACTAGATTACTTTAAAAAATTGATGTAAAACAACTATTTCTATGTATATTGAAAAGTACTTTTAGAATATCTTTAAAATGGAAAGCCATTTGCTAATAAGTTTGGACACCCCCAACAAAGGTCCCAAATGTAAGCAAATTATCAAGCTCTAAAACTCGGGTTTGAGTTGGGGAACCTGAGGAAAGTGTATATGCGGATTCTTTGGACTATTTTTACAACTTTTCTATAAGCCTAAAATTTTATTCAAACAAAAACGTTTAGTTTTTTAAAGTTAGGTTTTAATTTAGAGAGCATCTGGCTGCAATTGGGGTGGGGATGAGTAATGCTGCTGCTATGAATAATATGCACATTAGTCCAAGCCAGCATCTCCATGAACCACAACTTGGGGTTCAGCTTCTTTTATTTATTTCTCATTGCTATTCCTAATAAAGCAAGATGTTAAAGCTAACTACATGCTCTATTAATTATGTGAAGGTGAACTTGAGTCATATTTGTTACTGAAGATGATTAATAATTACCAGTTCTGCGCACGTTTCTGGTGCATTTCAGTAAATAAGCAGGGTACATTGTTGGATAGTAATTGATTAATTAGCACATTCATCCTACACAGCTCAATGGTCTAAGGATGCTGAGTTTGAGATATTGCTCATAATTATTACAAGAAACAAGTCTGTTTCATTTCTCAGTTTATTCTTCTGTACACTAAGTTTTTGTTGTTGTTGTTGTTGTTGTTGTTTTCTAAATCGAATGCTTAATGGTTCAAAACCTTTTAGGTTTTCTTCAGATAATCAACTCATGAAAAATTGCTAGTCATAATCACAGAATCTTGTTTTTGTGTGAACTAGGGTGAAAACTTTTCAAGGCTAATTTTAACACGGGATCTTGCTGTTAAACTGGATCAAATACTGTAAATATAGGGCACTTCCCCACCATGCAGGAAATGCTCATTGAGCACCTATGCGCAACAGGGGCACTGGAATCTCATTTGCTTCCCAACCACATCAAATAAGCTCAGGATTGCAAGTGTCATCAGGTTGGCACTTTGCAGCACCAAGCAAATATACTGAGTAATCTTCAGAGAAGGATAACAGCATGCATCGGTCGCCATTTTAACTGTGTAGCAAGTTACGAATTTTGTT